GCTATTAAAAATGGTCTGCGTGAAGCACGAAGAACATGATTAGTGTTTTTCGTATTGAGGAATAAACTCAAAAAGTTGCCAGTGGAAGATACACATCTTTAATCCTGCATTTGGACAGAAGGGAGAGTGTGGTCCATGCGAAAGCACTGCAGTCTAAGATGGAAAAAACAGTTCAAGTGGGCACTATCAACTATAGGCGTACATTGGCTCTTTTGCAATCTTGAAGCTTTTCAAGCTCCACACAGATGCAGACAAGGGCTGCTTCCGTCTAGCAGATACAGAATGTATTTAAACCCTCAGCTTGATTAATTTTTGCTCATGACTTACTTTCTAGCTATTCTGCTAAAGGTGCCATAAAACTCTCCTGAACAAAATCTCCGCTATGATCCTTTGCAACAGCCCACAGTTAGCTACCGGAAAAATCCTGACAAATGCAAATTAAATTACATACTCCATACAGGTCTCAGTTCCAGTGCTACCACCTTACAGGAAGATTGAGTAAAGTGTAAATATAAGACCAAGGTGAGACTTTACAAATGTTTCCTTATCAAAAGATTTCTTAGAAAAGGCGCAGCGCAGCTTTCTCCAACAGATGACTGAAGTTTGAACCAACAGAAACGAGCCTCACGGGTAACCTGTTATGCTTCTACACATGGCCAGCAAGCTTCTAATTTCACGTCCTGTTTCTGAGACGGTGTTTCAACATATTTACAGGCAGGGGAAGAAAGAAATCGCTTTATATTGCCACACTTACAGCGACTGTCCTGAATTCTCGGCAGGGCCACTCTAGCTGGCACCAGACTGTAGCAAGAAATAGAAAACCATCCCGACTCACTGGATCAGGATGAACAAAAAAATAAAAAGTCAGCGACAAGGACATCTGGGATATGACATGGAGCTGGAATCCATTCTTACATGCGGGTTCTACAAGAACTTTTGGCTAAAGCTTTGCCACCTGTTGTGTTGCCTACCTATTCATTATCTTAAAAAATGAAGGGGAGAAGGAATGAAGAAAGTGATGTCGGCGATGGTGAACGGGTGCAAGGAATCTGTAGATCATTAGACAGCTAACGTTCATACCAGGCTAATGATTTAGATAAAGTAATTCAACGGGTAGGCATTCTACTCAGCTTATTCACACAAGCAGGGCTTACAGGTCTGGCTTACATGACAACGGATACCTGCTAGGTGATGGACTGGTATTGGTTAAAAGTACAAACCCGCAAACTGGAATGGAAGAGTTTTTGCTCACTTTGCATCTTGCGTATCCTGTTACATTTGTGCAAGGCACTAGAGAATCAGGCACATTGTTTTGGGTGGAAACCATTTTATGACTAAGATGATCCGAGTCTGCAATGTCCAATAGCTGCTATTTCACGTAGGAGCAGTTGGAGCAGTCACATTTTTAAAATTGCCATTAAGATTTCCCACTTCTAAAATTATCTCCTTTTCCAGACTTTTTTTGGGGGTGGGGTAAATGGGGAAGTGGGAAATAGCTTTGTTATAGCAAGAAAACTCCTGAAGAAAAATATTTGGGATCTATACAGTTGATCTCCACTCCGATACTGATGTTGGCAATTTCTGTTACCAGCATCAATACTAATAAGTGGTTAAACCCAATAAAATAGAGCCTTCCATTTTTATATCTCAGGGGGAAGTTCTGGCTCTTGACATATATGAACCCACATCCAAATCGCTGCAGCACACAAGAGACTGTGTGATGCATTCAGGCCGTTCTTTCCGACTTCTCCGGGAGGTCAGAGACAACGACCTATCTCCCACAAAGACACCAAAAATAGGGGAAATGGCGTGTACCGATGACGGTATGTGACCAAAGCATTCAGGCTAGCTCTTCCTTGGGAAACAAATCTCACTCTTTAGGGGAGGCTAGTGCAGAAGTTGGAGATGAATCGGACGCTAGGAGGACAGCGATGCAGCTTAAAGCAACACCGAAGCAAGGCAGAAAAATGGCAGAGGTTATTCCAGATTACGCTCGGTACTGCCAGCACTGGAAAGGCTTTGCTGACATTTCTGTTCTTGCTGGGTGTGTCAGGAGGGCGAAGGGGATCTTGGCGGACGCCGAAGTGCTCGTGTGACATGAAGTGATCTGAGTTCAAAGCACAAAGCAACTGATAAACGCTTCATGCAGGTCCAGACGGCCGTGCCGTCTCGCTATCGCAGGCCATGGTTTAGACACGGTAACTCGAGGAGTGCCTACTTTTGAATCAAAATGCCACAGCCAGAAGATGCAAAACTGATTTAATATAAACTGCTGATTAAAGGTTGTGTAAAAATACTGGTAATTTAGCTTTGTCCTGGCAGGATTTATCGAGTATCTTCTGTCCTCTGTTTTGTTAACACCAACTTACTCTCCCATTTTGAACATTTGTGGCTTTTGTGCCTATATGTAATATGTATCAAATTTGTACCAGAGGGCAATCTGATCTGGCGACAAAACTGTTCTTCCATGCAGAAATTTATAAAGAATAATCTTATTACAGCAATTCGTAAAGTGCCCTCAGGAAAGGTGCTCACAATGCCATGACATCATAGAAAAAATACACAATCTGATACATTGTTGTCAAAAAAATCCTCCAAAGCAAAAAGGGAAAATATAAAAGGAGGGGAACAACAAATATAGGCAAATACTGTCAGTCTAGCAATAGTTGAATTAATTATGAAACGCTTTATAATTAGTCTCAGAGTGCTTGTAAAAACGGGGGGGCACTTTGGCAGGAGTATCTTGGAAAAGACCCAGATTTTCTAAGTTCTACCAAAGTAAATACACCAACAGCAAGCTCAGTGTTTTAAGATGAAATGACTACCAATTACTATGAGGTATTTTACTAAGGAAATAAAAAAAAATACAACATCTAAAGAAAACCCATGACCCACATTTTACTAAGAGGAAAGACGATAAAAGAGTGGCTATGTGTATCCACTGACCTTTAGCGTCTTGTTTTATATTTATAAAGAAAACAATCCTCCTCTCTGTTGATCCCAGATTATATATATATATATATAAAAACCTATATAATATATAGATATATATTTTTTTATATATATATATAAATACTCATACACACACATATGTGTATGTATTTCAGGGACTTACTAGATTTCAGAGTCTATTTTCCTTTTTTAAATGACTTAACACAACTGGGCAAAAAATCAAGTAATTGCGTGCATGCAAGCATATCTTGCCACTTGTGCATGTAAATTACACAATTTGTAAACAACTGCAGAAATAGCATGCTCAAATTAGGCATCTGATTGCCCAATTAACTTGTTCAAAGAAAATCAGATTATAACCTTTGGTAGCTCCTTTTATAAGTTTTACTTCTCGTTACTACTTTACTGAATTCATAGTGTATATTCTTAACAACTGCATTGTTATTTTGTGCTTTTATATAGGCATAAGCAGCGGTGCACGCTTAATAAAGCTATCAAGTGAACTTCGGACCAGATTTTAGAAAGCTGTTTAGATGCTTAGAGTCCCCTTTTTTCAGTGAGGATGAACCAGCTTAGACAATAAAAAATAAAAAAACCCAAAAGATCTGGTCTAATTTCAAACGGTATGAAAAAAAACCCAAACCAGGAATTTGTGGGCCTCCATGCCTCTATTAATAGGCAAAGTTTTGCTTCTGTGTTTTGATTTGATTTTTTTAAGGTGTCTTGTATAGTTTAACTGTATACATTCATATCCTAGTAAATCCTTATTTTATTTTTGCACTGAAATAATCGTTAATTAATGGTAGTTCGATACACGTTGAGACAGAACACCAGCTTTCTGCGTTCCGGTGTATTTTCTAACGGACAGAGAAACTAAAGTACCCAAATCTATGCAAGTACTGCAAGAAGAGGAACTTGTTAATTCGTATATCAAAATCAGTTAAGAAATGAACTGTTACCATAAATACGTTGCTCCTTTGTTGTTGTACTTCTTTTTCTGAGATGATGTTGTGGAAAGGGGTTATTTTCTTGTCTCTACCAATTTTTTGCATCAAATAAATCTTAGCAACTTTAATGGCGGGGGGGAAAGCTAAGCAAACCATTATCTTAACGACAATCTCTCAAATAAGAGAAAAGGAAGCAAGAGCAGAACTGCTGGGCTAGATCGTGTCCCTGAATAGGTATTAACATATAATCCTAGTGGCTGCATTTGCCAGTTCTTTATAGGCCTCCTGCAGCAACAGACGTGCTGGTCCAACTGTTCATCCTCCCTCAGAAACAGGAGAGCGGTAAGAAAAGCTACTGGACCCCCATTGTATTCTTAGGGGTTTCCATCAAGCATCACTGGATTTCTTCCCTCAACTTCTTGTTGTGACAATATCTGCTGGTGACTTTCCATTGCTGCTTTTCTTCCTCTCGAGGATCAAAATCCAATTTGGTGCTTAAATTACTTTGTTCCACTCCACTGGTCTGTGCCTGGTTTAAAAAAGTTCCAGGAGCACTGCTTGTCCTTCTTGCAAATTCAGACTTTGCTTTTCTCCTATAAACAAACAAACAAAAATCCCAACTCCTCCCCACATCCCCTTTCCAAAAATATATAATAATCACGATCATTCGCATCAGGAGAATTATTTAGCAGTCTCCAGTCTTAGTACAGCTTTTGTTGAGTAAACTGTAGCTTATACGACTCTGAAGTGTTTATTAGAAAGCTTTCAAAAAGAGATCTTCGTTTCAGGAAAAGAAAAGTTGTTCAGTTTAGCAAATACAGACGTTCACAGCACAGAGACTGAAATGGTTAAAAATTATCTTAAGGAGCAAGTAGCTCACAGAGTTAGCAAAAAAATTAACTTTTTCCTTTCTTTTACAGAAAAACACTAATAGCTGCTCTGGTTTCCACACTTAGTAAGACAGAATTTTGTTGTATGTTCTTGGTTTTGCTTTTTTTTTTTTTGCTCTATTGCTCCACACAGGTTTTGATTAGTGCTTTTCCTTGGTTACAAGTGCTTCACTTTGAAATACAAAGCTCTTCTCTGTAAAACAGAATTTTTTTTTGTGTTTTTTTTTTTTTTTTTTTTTTTTTTTTTGCTCTATTGCTCCACACAGGTTTTGATTAGTGCTTTTCCTTGGTTACAAGTGCTTCACTTTGAAATACAAAGCTCTTTAAAAAAACAAACACCCAAAAAACCAACAAAAAAACCCTCAACAACACATCACTGGAGGGAAAATGGGAAGTGATACAGTGCAGCTGCAGCAATCTGGTTCTGCTGTTGTCCTCCCCCATCCCCAAATCCTCTGCATAATTTCAATCTTTAGTCGATGAACCTTTGGCAGGCCTTCTTCCATCGGCAGGCAGTACACCACATATCTCTGTTCTCCATCCCATAGACCTTCCGACACTTTTTCCCCTCCCCTCTAGGCTTCCTGTCAGAGAGAAAGGGAAGCTTGTTAACGAGATGCTTTCGTAGCTTTGCTCTATCACCCTAAGATCAGGACAACAGTCTCCATGGAGTGCAGCCGGCAGAGAACACCCAGCGTTTCAAAGGGATTTGGGTTGTTTTCGAGTCAAATACCAGCAGGTAGCAGCTATGCAAAAGAGGGGAAAAGCTACCAGCTCCTAAACTTGCCAGTCCTTCCTGCATGGCTTGCTCCGAGCTCATTGACTGAAAAACAACAAAGTGATTGAAAACAAGTTTTAACCCTTGCCCTCAGCTGCAGCATGTTCACATGTGCTCCTTCTCTGTCGTCCCCAAAGTCAGCAAGGTAGGCAGTATCTGCTTTTAAAGCTATAATGATTGTCATGTTTTTCATCTTATAACCACACTCGAAAGTTCACAAGTTTAGAAAATGATCAAAGTAACTGTTAAAATGGAACTTTTTTTTATTCAACACATGGAAAGCCAGCAAACCTGAGGAGCAATGCTACAAGAAGTAACCCAACGCTTGCTATAGCAGTGCCATCTGTCCTGGCGTCTTTAAATCAAGTAACTGTACGGACAGAATTGTTTTATACCTGTATTACATGCTGCATGGCACACATGGGAATTGCCTGGTGATTCCTCTCTTGCACACCTATGCGTTTTTTGATTACTGAACATTCATTAATGGGCACAATCCATGAATTGGGAAGATCCTAAGTTTGGTTTGTAGCATATGCAATGATCTGAGTCATGAAGAAAATTAAAAGCATGAAATCTTCCTTTTGTCTCGTTTTAGGGTACAGTCACCTTTAGGGTTGTGAGAAATTAAAGAGTTTCTTTACTGTAAGAAATTCAGTGTCACAGTTTGATTTTTTTTAACATAACTTTTTGAACACTGTTAAAGCAGACTCTGGTCAACCATCAGTTAGCTTTAATGGCAGTGAATGTAGCTTACGTCTAGGAAGACAAGGCATAAAAAGCTTTACTTTGCTCTAATTTATTGTAAGATACGGTTTCTTATAATTCAATTAAAGCCAAATACCGTACTGACTGAATGGTGATGAACACACAAGACAGCCCAGCCTTTCAGAGAAAAAAGCAAAGCCACGTAATGAAGTTCAGGATGCTTCAGGTAGAGCAGTGAATCTGGGCAGCGTTGCTTTACAGGGCAATTTAGATCTGCATCTGAACTCCAGACATGCCTGGCATAAGGCCTGCAGTTTTCCTTCACAGTCTGCCTTTTTCATTTCACAACAACTCACTTTTCCCCCAAACTTTACCTTTGATAGTAATGAAAAGCAAAATAGGTCCAGAACACTTACTCTGAAGCATTCTAGTAAGAAACTGCCTGACAACTGCAATCACGGTTGGTGGTGTGGTTTTTCTGTTTCTTTGGCCACTGACATCTTATTTACTAAATGCCCTCCAGGTTCTGAGGCTGCTGGTCTGTCAGCAGGAGCTAATGGTCCCATACCTCAAGCCAAATGCTACTCTAGGCGGTGATGAAAGAACTGTGTGGGACTGTTTCTGCTCTCCACTCCCTGCAGGACGATTATGAGTTGGTGAGACCTGTCAATACAGACAAAAAAACTGCTTATGAAGAACATACACATATGAATGCAGTATAAACACTTCTCCCAGAAAATGCAATTCATGATGCATGGTGGCAAGGATACCCAGGAAAGGTTATTATAAAACATACACACATAGGGAAGTTGCAGGTCTATTTAGAAAGATGTCCACTGAGCGTTAGGTACACTATATTAGCTCCATTTTGTTTCCCTGTACTTCCAGTCATCCCAACAGAGCAAACCAGAATACAGATGAGCATCGTTTCAGGTTCTGGGAAACAACAGAAAATGCATTCATTCTTATTTAAGAACTCTAAATAGCTCTTATAAAAACGTTCTCCAATTTAAGCAAAGAAAGTAACTGGAAAAATAAACTCCAGCCTGTGCTGAGATCAATACCGATAAACCCCTATGAAATAAAGGGATTTCACGAGTTGCTCTTGTCTGTGACTTGGCACTCTTTGTGGAGAGACAGCCTTGGAGAAGGGGGTTTGCCACACAGCAGTTACAATGCAGCCCTCAAGGTTTTAATGGGAGTGCAAGGCAGCCCTTCTGATCAAGGCTGCTAACAAGATGTACTGGATTATTTCCTTTATTCTGCACTGTAAACCTTCTCAGCAGGTGTCCTCCTTTGTCAATGTTCCCGAGTGAAGGGCGTAGTTTGGTCTTCTGAGACTTTCCAAATAAACTGCCTACAGGAGTGTGTGGGTTGGCAACATTATTCGAGTAATCCCATGGCATAAAGCTTGGCCTTAAATAATTCCTAAATTATTTACTGCTAGGGTATTATTTTGCTACTGGGTGAAGGCCACAACCACTTTACATCTAAAAAAACTAGAAAAAAACTTACAAACACTCATTTTTTGTTATGTACAGAACGTAGCAAGCTTTGGGCATCTGGTGCAGGGAGTCACTACCTCCTGCAGCCAGGAACTGCAGATATTGTCATAGTTCCTTGCATTGCTATGACTTTTCACTGCTGCCCTTCTGAAGTCTCATAATATCTGGAAGATATGGGAACTGACCTGACTTCAGGAGAGTTACTGAGTGTGCTTTAATTTTTGATATAAAATCTATTTTATAGCTACTCGACAGTAGCAAAAAAATAACTAATACTTGTAATGGAGTGCAGACAGTCTTTCAACTTTTACTCTTGACTAATACTTGTAATGGAGTGCAGACAGTCTTTCAAATTTTACTCTTGACTGGTAACTACAAAAATTTCTGATTTAACTGCATCTGCAGCTCACACTCTGAACAAGTTTAGACCATTACTGATGTATGAAATATAACTCCAAAAGTTGAAAGAAATTTCCTCTCTCTCTGCCTGCTTACCGTAAGTCATGTTTTATATATCCAGAGACCACACTAGCTCCTTCTGTCCTATCACTCCACAATATTGAGGGCAGCTTGTTGTCTACTACTTTTTTTCCTATCTTTTATCAACCACTTCTCTTGTTTTACCTAAGAATGATTGAAACACTGAAGATAAAATGCAAAGCAGCAACACTTTTCTAGTCTTTGGCATTTACCACACACTGCATGGTTTTCCAGTCATTACCAGCAACCAGAGATCTCCAGTCAATGCTGCTAGGGTTCTTAAACATTTTAAAAACCAGAAAATTTTTGTATCTACCACTACTAACTGATACTCAACATATTCCTTGGTTATCATTGAACAAAAAAGTACTTTGATGGCCTCCTATGTTATAAGCAATTATCCTGATTGCTTCCAAACACAGTACAGGCTTGAGCAGTAATTGCAGCGTGCAGACTGCGTCTCCCCTCACATTCTCCAGAGGGGGTCTCTGCACGATAGTTTCCACGGATTGGCATACCAAGGCAGCTAAACTGCACTTGAAGTTGAGCTTTAGTGTATTTTGATACGCTTTGCAGCAGGTCTAAACAATACCAGTTAGCTGTATTCCTTAGTAGGCGACACTAAGAGCAGATTAAGAGGAAGGCGTGAGAAGGCAATCCTTGCCCTCAGAGGCTTTTCACATTTGAAGTGGTGTCTAACGCAGAGAATTAATGTGAAACGATAGTGTGTGTTTGAAGCAAGGACCTGGAGTTTCCAGTTACATCTCCTGGGGGAAACTGTGGTTACAGAGAAGAATCTGTAAACATCAGATTATCAAACTTAAAGATCTTCTCTCCTGTTCAACTTTTTTGGGTCTTATGAGCAGGCAGGTAAAAATCAGTATCACATAACGGAAATCACGCTGGCATTCAAGACTTTTATCCTACATTACACAAAAGTGGAACTATATGGTCATTATGTTAAGTCCTCCAGTACCAAGAGATACAGACTCCACCATTGCTCATCCCACTTGCATCATTTAATTCATCCTCCTCATACGTCCCCATGCTGTGCCTTATTTTTTCTCCTAGTTCAGTCTCAAGTGGTAGAGCAAACATGAACTTGTCCTTTCTGCTTCATGCAGGGAATTGCACCTAGCAATGACTCACGGCTGTGCCAACACTCAACCTGCTCTTGCACCTGCAAAGTTATCTTGGGAAAATGATAAGAAAAAGTGTATTTCCCATCTGCCTTGGGAATGTAACTTATGCATGATTCAGAGCACAAAGTATAAGGACTTTGGAGGTTCCCCTAATTCTCCTCCTTTATGACTACAAGACTTCTAGATAAATGCCTATGGTTAGATGCTGTGAATACCCCTGAGCCTAAAGCAGCCGCATACAGAACCCCGACTGATCCAGCTGTATGTATGGCTTGTTTTGAGGCACTTAAGAACTTGCCGATAAGCACCCTCACGTTCACAAAGGCCTTTTGGTGCTGCTCTGCTAAAGACTGCCTGAAAGCGAGGACTTAATGTAAGTCATGATGTCTGTCTGAACACCCCAGTTCCTGGGACAGCAAGCAGAGAGTGCTCAGTGTCACCGAAATTCATTGTCCACAGGAATGAATGGGGAAACACCTAAGGTAGGTGTCAAAAAAAACCACAAAAGATGACTATTTTGAAATTTCGTCTCTCTCGTGGACTCAACTGCTGACATACAGGTCTAGAAAGAAGCCTGTTCAAAACCAGGATTCAACAGCCCTCTAATGGGTCAAGGACAGAATGGCCCCATTCCAACATCACTAGTAACGTGAAGAAATGTGTAGACCTACACACTTTTGCAAATCTGTACCTAACCATTTACTGCTCAGTGGTTTGTCCGGGCCAAAAAAGTATCCCAAAGCCATTTTAGAAAACTGCTTGAATAAATATTAAGGTCAGGCAAAAAGTAACGGTTTGGACTTACTCTGTGAAGTTCCCTTGGGTGCTACAGACATGCATCTAATCTCAGGGACCATGTACATATACAATTGCATGAGCTGATAGTATGCTGGCTCTGTCACATAGTCTGGGCTTAAATAAACCTCATAAGAGAAGGAGAAAGTCCCCTATACTATAGGTTTCCTAAAGTAGTTACACTCTGTGTAATGCTGAGAATTGACAGAGCCCTGTTTTTATAAGGCAATATCTAATTTACTTTGAAACAGGAGAAATGAAACTTTCATTTAATATACAGTTATTTAACATCACTTTGCATTTGCACCCTCACTTGCTGCACATAATTTTCCACTGCAGGCAAGCCTTTGTAATTCATAAATGATCTCACTGATGACAGAATAGTCAAATGTGTGCAAACCTAGAAGGTTTTTTTTTCTTGCTAAACAACCTTATAAATGTTGTTAAACAGAGATACAAAGGCAGTTCATATGGTTCCCTGAGTGGTTTATAATTCTGCTATCATCACTGCTTCCCCAGGTTTTTGTATTGGGATTATTTTTAGATTGTACTTAAAGCACTGACATCTCCATACAATTCTCAGAAAGTGATTTGGCATTTCTTAAATTCTTTTGAGAACTCTAAACTCTACAGCCACAGATCAACGTTGCTGCTTGAACAAGTAAACTCAACGCATATGTGTCTAATCCTGTTCTCTTAAGTGTCTGATTTACAATGTGGCTAATTGCATTTTTAGAGTCCCAACACTCCTGGCACCAATTTCTGCTACTCCACAAAAGGAGCCAGTTTCATAATTACTCTGTATCAACCCCATTGTTGGGAAATCAAATTCTCGAGGAACTTTATGGATAGCACGCTCTGTCAAGGCACTCTTGTTGAAATTGCTGCCAGCATGATGTCTTTCACTGTTAGTTGTTCCTTGATGGAATTTAATAAATATTCATTGGCAGAGTGCAGCGTAATTGATTCAGCCACTTTCATTTTTCATCATCCCTGCAGGATGCCACAGCCTCTGCAGAAAATCTCCCAAGATTTGCCAAAGGTTGACAGTAAGAAGCTTTGGAAATTCACTTGGTGAAGAGAAGGGAGGGAAATAGTATCTCTTATCGCCATGTCTAATATTCACTGTCAGGAGAAGAAAAGCTATATGGTTCTTTGGATGAGCAATGTGCCTTACATAATACACTTTAAGAATTCATAAATTCATAAAGTGTAATATTAAATGAAATGTTATGATACAAAAAAGTTTTATGATTAGAGAATATCAATTTATACTGAAAAATGCTTTCCAATAAAAATTAGGATACATTACATTAATATTTATTTCTATTTATTACACAGAAGACTTTCCACTACTCATAAATAGGGATTTACATTTACTTTTAGTATTCACCATGCTAGGCACTAGAAGCCTAATCCCTTTGAACGCTTCATAAAGGTTTTTAACTCCCCCTACAGTATCCACGCCTATATTGCGTTACATTCAGGACTACTGGAATTCTATGTTTAAGCAAACATCCCATTTCTGCAGCCCTGTTCATGAAATTAGGCCTCATACACCAGCTTTTTGAAGAAAGGGTCAGAGTTGACTTTACATCTAATACATACATCTAATACATCTTCATTAAAAATGTGCCAAACTGCAGTATGTATTAGTATCAAAATGCAATATGTATTGAACATATTTTCTGTATAAATGTACAGAATTTTCTGGTATCAATAGGGACTACATACATGTAGCCTACTAGAACCAGACTTTGTATTTCATCTTATTGTTTCTTTCAGTCGCCTTTCAAATATACTTCATCTTCAGAGTTCATTTAGGTAACAGCCCTGCTGCTTGAATCCAATTAGCCTGTTAGCATAACCATCACCTCGCTGATTTTCCATCTAGTTTTGTAAGAAATCTCTTAGTGGCACAAAAAGGAGCAGATACTGCCAGGCTCTGCACCTACCAGAATGTTCTTTTGTAAGCGTATAGTTTAAAAAATACATACTATAGATCCAATCCTCTGCCTGTAGACACTGATGCAAAAAAAAGTAACTGTACTGAATTAAAGAGACTGGCAAAAATGTTAAAATCAGCCGTGCTGGCAAACTGAGGCATATATTTAATTTGTTTCTTTTCGGTATCTGTTATGTCAAAGTTACTTCTATCGTGAGACACTGTGAAACAAAACAAAAAGTTCTAAAAACTTTTTTTTTTCCCTTTCTTTCTTTTTCTGTCGTTCACTTACTGGAATGCCGGTGAAGGTAACTGGAGGCGACTGCCAAGAGATGCTAAAGCTACTGCCATTGGGAGTGAATTTTGCTGACCCTGGAATGTTCACCGGAGGAGTGGCCTGTGTGAAAAGAAAATATTATTCCAGTAAGAAGAACCATTCCTCTTCCAAAGCATTTCAAGGGATCTTTCACTCCCTGAAACTGTAAATCTACAAGAGACTTTCCAAGGTGGAAAAAAACTTCATAGTGCTGACGGTAACAAGCATTTTACCCTTATGAGAGGGATAATCATGGATAAGCCAGTAAGGAAGGGACATATTTATATATCACTGTTCTTAAAACCTTGTTTAGAGAAAGATGGTAGCTCTCACAAGAGAATTCACACAAAACCCTTAAAAGCTAGATCTGATAAAAAACCACACGAAATCAAACATCATATAAAAATAACTTCTAAAATAATGCCAGCAAGCAGCAAAACGTATTACAAATGATAACCTGTTCCACAGTGATAAACAAAGCAGTATTTAAATTGACGGCAGCTGGTTTAAACAACTGAAGACTGGTTGGCGAGACTTCTTGGACAACAGGGTTAATGCTCAACAGTAAGGGTTGGCCATTTCTTGTTTATCAGATAAATGTTGTTAAGAATCATCCCAATTAAAACAGTCTTTCCTATTAAAAACAAGGAGCGGAAAATCATCCTTGGGATTCAAAAAACAGCTTTTAAAAGACTAAGCTAAAGCAAATATTTGAAGGACCCCTGGGCCCCTTGAACTCTTATGTTCTTCCCATGTGGGCTGTAATACCCAGCGCTGCCCTGGGGTGCAATACCCGATAATCTGAGCTCAGACCATCGAGCATCTTTCATCTTGTGCCTTCCCTCTGGTTTTCTCACTGGGCTATGAGCCCTCAGGAATTCTTCCCTGCCCCTTTTTGAAGCCCATTTAATTTACAGAGTCAGGAAATTCCTATGTTTGCAGTTACCATGCCTAGCAGGAGCACAAGCAGCCACCATGAACACAGGCTCCCTTTGACTCTTGAATTCCAAGCTTTCACCACAAAATAGGCTCCTTGGTTTAAACTTATAAAGAACTTGCTATTAAAAATGAGTTTTTACTTCTGCCTTCCAGTTGCCTGCACCTGACAATAACGCAATACACGTATTTAAGCAGTGTTTGTGTTTGAGGCTGCTAAAGTTGTCTCACCGCTTCGGGGAAGAGAGCACTTCCCTGAGCCGCCAGGCAGAGAGGAGTGATGACAAACTACAACCTGATAGTCCCCATTAAAGATAATCTTCAGAGTAAACAAGTGCTGAAGCAATCCCCTAGAGTCTCTCCAAGGAAAAGAAACCGAGACCACTGGATACGTCCGTCTACGGCAGCAATGCTCTGCGGGGGGCTGAGCCCGCTGACAGCTCCAAGAGAATCCACACAGACACGTGGAGCAAACGTCCACTGAGCTCCATAAAATATAAAAACCTCGCTGAAAGGCATCAAGAAAAATTTGGCAACTCCAGATGGTACCAGTAGTGCTTCATCACAACCCTGTTCAAATGGGAAGGGGTGAATGACCACCACACTCCTGCCAGAAAGAACTGGAGGCATCTGGGTGGGCAGCAAGGGGGCACTGCCTCCACTCAGCATCCCACCGGGATATCAGCTCAAAGCCGGGTCAGCACAGCAACTTCCTCAGATATTTGAGTAAGACCCGCAAGGGAAATCCTAGATGCTGAAAGAGCCCACCTGTAGTTCCTCTGTAGCTAAATTTAACAGGTACAAGCACTAGTTTCATAATGAAACGTGAAGTATGAGAAGTTTAAAATTGCTGTAATTTGCAGTTGCCTAAAATACCGTGGTGCTCAATTCTTTTTTCTCAGTGCCTAAATATCTACCTCAGACATGATCAGATTTAGACAGTCAATCACCTTGTTCATTTGTTTCCCAGATGTGCATCTTTGCTCATCAAGCACAGTCACCTTTTTCAGGCTAACATTTTAGACGCTCTCTTCCATAAGGTAAGCAACCATAACATTACAATGAACTGAAGAGTTTCTATACCCTGATCTCACTTTGCTTAGAGACGTCCATCTAATTTCCAATCAAAATATATTCACGGTTAATTTATAATTATTTATTTGTGCCAACATTGCCCTTATATCTGAAACAGCATGTGCTTGTCCTCTTCCCCTCTCATGTTTGTCCTCTCACCTTCCTTCCAGGCAGCAATCCCACCCTCTCCACACCCCTGCTTTGCCTGAGCTGTCAGTCCCTGGGCTGGAGAGGCCCTCCGTGTCCTCCCTGCCTTCCCTCTTCCTTCAGATCACCTTCCTTCTACCTCTTCTAATCGGAGCCCATCATCCTTGAAATTGGTTGACCAGAACTCTACTCAGGATCTCAGTTGAAGTTATCCAGCGGTCTTGTACAACAGCGTTAAAAATCCCTGTCTCTCCTAGGTATTTCTTACCCAAGAAAGCTGACAACATTTTTTCCCTTCACAGACCTGTTGTTGTTGGCTCACGGTCATTCAGTGCTTGATAATGAACATAGGTTTCCTCCTCACGTAATTTTCTAACTACTCCAGTTTATAGCAGAAAAATCTCATTAGTTCCTAAGGTGTAGGACTTCGCATGTTCCGCCATTAAATTGCATCCAAAATCTATTATTCTTAAGATCACCCAGTCATGTAAGCATGACATACAAATTCCTGTACTGCTGACATCTCCTGAGTTCATTATCAGCAAAGTTTATTATAGTATTTGTCTAGTACCAAAATGATTTAATGAAAATAAGATCAGACCCAAATACAGCTTTTCATTCAACTCCACTAATAACATTCAATAGCCCTTTCAGAATAACTCACTGCTGTTCTCCCCGACTCCCCAGCTCTCTTTCCTACACTAAATTTAATCTCTAGCCTAACAAATACTGCCTATATGTTTTAAGATCAAATGCTTTCCTTGAATCCAGAGGGATTTGTTCTTCTGTACTGCTTCTTTGTTGTTTACAAAGCTACCTTCTCCAAGAAAGATGTTAGACTGTTCTACGATAATCTTTCTTTGGGGTTCCTCCATTGCAGTTCACCTCATTTGCTGTACTTTCCACAATTTCTTCAATTATTTTTCTAACTCTTTCCTCATCCATAGGACTGGGTCAGAGAAGAGAGTCAGGACTTGCCTGATCGCTTCCTCTTTACTCCATTTTTACTACTATTATATTTGCCATTTTCCAGTCATATGGGAAATGGCAGTTAACAGATCTGTTTAAGATTCTTGTACCCCAGCTTTGGGTTCCATATTTTTTTCCTTTTTTTAACAGGAATCCTGGGATGAACATTATTCAGCCTCCCTTATCTGAGTTCCTTGAGCTATGAATTTTGCCTCTTCACTCCCAATGAAGTAATTTCCACTTCCATGCTCTCATTCATATGAGAGATTGTTTTCATCACTACATTCCCGTTCAATACTTCGTTTCAGTTTTGATACAGATAATATTTTTATCAGAAGTAAAAAAAGTTTTGAAACTCTGTATATGGCTCACTCCAGCAAGCAAACTGCAGGAAATATGGTGGTATTAAAGATGCTGTCGTCACCTTCCCTTCTATTCCCTTTTACACAACAGATTAGTCACAAGAATGCTTAAATGCTATGAGTGAAAGCTGGGCTCAATTCCTCCTCTTGCTGGTGAGAGTTGAATCTCCACCTCGCCTCCTGGAGAGTGCTCTTCTTGCTGGGCTAGAGGGACTAGATATCCTAGACACAGGATGCCACTGACCTGCTCTGCAGAAGCTGCCTCCTTTGCAAGGACAACCTGAATGCTTGAGCAGGGACCCCTGCTTCCAACAGGAATGCCTTGAACACTGTGGACTGTGTCACTTCTCGCTGATGAAATGAAGTATTGAAACCAGAGCAACTTGAAAAGGAGGCAGGGCTCAGACACTTACAGTCTCGTGTTGTGGAATACCTCAGTTCAAATCCAATTCAAATGGCTTAAACATTTGAACTAGGATTTCCTTAGACAAGTGCTTTACTCAAAGGCTGCTTATAAAAAAGGATCAAGTGATTCTCCAAATTGCAGGGAAGACTGTCACGACTGCAAATCCCAAATGAAGTGAGACTCTTCTCAGCAGCCTAGACTTGGTGCCTCACTCTGTGAGAGGCAGGGCTTAAGCTAGACTGAGAAGAAAGTCTTTCTCCTAGCTGGCTTAATCAGTCCCCAGGTTGGTGTGCTACCCGATGCAGCTCGCACCTGAGATGCCAAACTTCCACCCATCCTTTCCGCCGTGCACGACAGTCTAAAACAAGCCTGTGAATTCTGTGCGGTTCCCTCTGCCCTTTTAGTGGGTCTGCTCCAGACACACAACAAAAAGGTTTCATCTGCACAATGCTGTATACGAAAGTTATTGCAGCTCATAAATTTAACAGAGTTCTATTCTCTGGTGCATACGCAGGTCATGGACCACACTACTTCAAAGCCTCTATTCTTCTTTTCTCATATGGTATCCAGACCAGAACATGTCACATTTTAGTGCACTTTTACAATTAATGCTTTCTGTCTGAACTTAGTTGGAAGTTTTTGGAACAACAGGTTTTGGATCTAATTGGATTTTGCCATTTGCAAAGCATTACCTCTAAGAGTAGGAGGATACCATATATGCCTTTTCATTCTTCCTGCTCTACTTCACATATGCAAACTGACATCTCACGCTGTACAAATAAAGGAAATGAATTGTTCCTGGCATCCCTTGGGTACTTGCCTACAAACACATCCAGTACAAGCAGAGCTGAAATGAAGACTCTGGGAGGGATTCAGCTGACTGAATGAGAATTTTTACAATGCAGGAGACCGCATCTGAGCATATCACCTTGGGCCCTCCTTATGGTTCGTGGAGAATTAACTGATGTAGGCAGCAGGATACACAGAGCAACTCTTCTCAACCTGAAGTATGCACCTATGTGTGGCTGGATAAATAGCACCCCAAAATCCACGAGCTATGGTGGGAGCACAAACAAACAAACAACTACCTCAGAAGCAGACATCTAAATTTAAATGAGAGGAACCCCTTGGGCTGCCCTGAAAACTTTTCACCCATTAAAACTAGACTTGGCTTTTTAAAACCCAAACATTGTGATCTGACATTTCTTTACACATTAATGACATCAGTGTAATCAATGTTCACTCTCACTAGCGTTACCTGGTAAGCATGGTCCGTGTGTACGAGGTAGAGGTTGGTAGGAGCTGAGCGGCTCAGAGGTGTCATCAATTTAGTCTCAGTTTTGGCACAGGAAGTTTCAAGATGGATTGCGTCTTGGGTGGGAAAGGAAGGAGGAGATGCTAAAGATGGAGAGACTGGGGAAAGACTGCTTAAGCCATCAGCTACTGAGTCCGTGTTGAGCCTGATTTCTGTATAGTAAAAATCCTCCTCTCCATCACTGTAGTCAGACTCTCCTACACGTCTGTATGAAGACAAAAGAATGAAGGACTGATTAAATGAAAGCAAGAACCCCAAGGTGAACTTTAAGTTGTAGATGCATGAGCAAACACATTCATACTGTCAATAAATTAATATTCCCAGTTTCAACCCTACCTACTTTATCAGCATTCTGGCTGCAGGGAAGGGGAGAGGAAAAGAAAATCATCTAGCCTGAAGGGAAAAGAAGCAGGAATTAGATTTTTTTTTTCTCTGTGTGTTATTCTTGCGTAATTCTTTGACCTTGGAGTAGATGTTTAACTTCTATGCTTCAGCTTAAATATCAGCTTCTCATTCCTAACTATTAAAGTTAACAAGAATCTCAACGCACTTTGACTTCAGAAATGACAGAGCAGCCACAGAAGGACGGGTAAATATAACAAACACGGGCAAGATATACTTCACTAATGTTACGGCAAACAATATGTAATCTTATCATAGGTTACTTAATTAAACCAAATATAGTCATGGCTGCGGTTCACCGCAACTTTCCTTGGCATAACAGAAAAAGCTGCTAGAAAACAGTCTCACCATGCAACTCACTCAGACACAGTAGAAAAAGGACATATGGGCTGGTTTGCCAGCGCAGGACTTTCTGGTCCTACTCTCCAGAAGCAGACTTACTGAAGGAGGAGGTGTAAAAGTTTTAATTGCCCCTGCATCCCTGGCACTATCCGCTGCATGTTTGAGCGCAAATGCTAGGAGCAAAGCAGCCCAATCAAAGCAGTAGTTCCCAGTAGGGTACATGTTATCTTGAAGTCCAAAACAAACCACTATTTTAACATGTTCATAGTCCACATGCTATACAGATGTAACTCACAGCTCATACATGCGTATTTTCTCCTGAATCTTCCATATAGGAAATCTGAGAGCCCTAAGCGTCCTCCTGCCTGCATGTCCATATCAGGACTGAACACTGGGCCTCTTCTTTTCCAGGCATGCACCCCAAAACCAGCCCCTAGCCAGTTCTTCAGCCTGCTTGCCCGTATACCTCTACCTGTGGTCCTCTCACCACCCTACTCAATAGAACTCGTTGAGAGAGCATGGGTTCAGCAGGTTTGAAGGGCTCTACCAGAAGTACCATCCGTCAGACCGCAGCCAGTCACTCACCAAAACTCCTCTCTCCGGCAAAGTTACAAACTCCAAATTCCAGGGAGGTTCGGCTGTTTACTTCTCCCTCTCCCGTGCCACGAAAAGGATGTCCCCGTAATATACAGGACAAAACAACATTCGTAACTGCATTTTGAGGGAGATTTTCTCTGTTTCTGACAGCCTCACTCTTCAGAGCCTAAGCCCAACAGCAATTACTATGACCTTTGCAAGACTCTCCTGAGCTCCACACCAGACTACTTCCTCATGGTCACTTTAATTTTTAAGCACTGGGTAACACAGACTTACACAACAGAGATGTATTTCCACATACCTAACAGGTGAAGGCCAGGAGTCCCCACTGTAACTATATATGAGACAGCTAGGTCACTCAGCAAATTGCACAGGAGATTTCAGTTGCAAACTAAAGCTCTGAAACAAGCTTGTGTCATACAAGATTCATTCACTTTTGCTTCTAGTCCAAGTAACATACACATGGAATTGCAGCTCATTTTCTTTCTCTTAGGTTTCTTAGGTTTTCAGGGGTTTTCAGAACTAGCACAAGCACCTGATCTGATGTGAAACAAAGCTGGAAAGTATTCATGCAAGACCCTGAAACCTGCTGTCTTTTGCACAGTGTCAGCATGGATGTGACACGCGGATAGCACATACAAAGTAAATACCACTGAGTTGCGCTGCCATTTAGGGAAGTGCAGTGTGACCTAGAGCTGTATTTGACCTTCTAGTAAAGTTCACAAAAGTTCAGGAAAGAAAGTGCCTCGCTGTTTGAATAAGTTCCCGTTCACCTTGATGCACCACTCCGCGATTTCCTCAGAAACCTAGGGATCTGAGACAGAAAAGCCAAGGACAAGCCAGTTCACCTCCCCAGCCAGGTGCGACTGCTCCCCTTCCATACCAAATCCTTTAGACTTCTGAAGAGACTGCTCTCTTACCCAAGGTGAATGGTCCGTATGTGTTTCTGAATCCCTGCAGCTGTGCTCAGTACCTTCCCACAGTTTTTCCACAGGCATTTGAACATCACCTTCATGGAGTTCTGGAAATTATGAGTAAAGCAACATTAGGTGCGTGGAAGACAGAAAGAAAATCAAACCACCCAAAACAGATATATAGCTACAAAACACTGTGAAGGTTCAGAGCCTCCAACTCTGAATTTGTAATGATGTAAAAGTCTCTGTCAACAGTGTCATCCTACTGAACTCAAGAGAATCCCCGTGAAAAGCCACAGGAGCAGCTTGTGCCAAAACTTTACCTCTCTCTGCTTTTTGGCATGGCTTTTTCATTTGCAAGTTCCAGTTTCTGTCTCCCCACTAAAGGAGGTAGACAATATAAAAACTTCCTACACTTCTTTGGAGCCTTTCAAAGAATAACTGATGAGGCCTTCTCACTTAATGCAAGGCATCTTCCTAAATTAAGATCTTCCTAAAGCAAGCTCTTACGAATACTTCTGCTCATGAATTTTGAAACACAGAAAAAATACTGTGCCAGAAAACTGTAGCTTCTGCAATGACAATACTCACCATGAGCTGGCAAAACCTGCTTTTATTTCATTCAGAAGCTGCTGTGACCCTTATTTGGACAAGGGAATGAGAAGCCATCCGGCTGTGTTCAACATTTTTAAAAGAATGTGTGTACAATTGCATTTTAATATTCTTGTTATATTCTTTAATATAACTTCATTGGCCTAAACTGAGTTATCATTGATTTAGAGGACAGCCAACAAGGCTATAACCAGCCCAATCTTCAATATTTTGAAGACTCTGGAGAAAACTAGTCTTAATTTAAAGCACAGTATGTGGTAACAAACAACACAGATGTTGCAGAACTGTACAGATTTTTTTAAAAGCTAATTTTACCCCAAAATAAAACCTACTTTATAGATTTTAAATTAAAAAAAATCTAAGTAATTTGTACTTCTCAAAAATCATTTTCTCTATTATTACAGAACACATAATTAAAGAAAACATGAGGAAGAGCTTCAAAATACTGTATTATTACCCTATCATTTTAGTTACATGTAAGATTAAATGAATATATTCATATAAAGCTCGATTAAAAAAAAAAGGGAACAAGCACATCCTTAGAGTTAAGTACATGCTTCACTCTGTCTTGAACAAAAGCTGACTTGGTGCTTTCTTCAATTTGGACCCTTTGGGACTGCATGCCAGTAGATGGTAAGTTTCAGCATTTGCTAGAAAGACGATTAGAATATGATTTTTAAAAATGTCAGCTGATGGGCTTTTTAAAATCCAAGTTGATTGTAGTAGCATGTTCTCATAGTTACTTGGTAGTCTAACATCTCCTGTTTGAAAGTATGGATGCTAAGGGCTTTAAGATTTGAGGTACCTGATCATACTGTTTGCATGAAAACCTTCTAGTTTGGAATAAATGGCACATAAATTCCCTCTATAATTTTTTGATCTGATAATACAACTACCATTCAAATAGATAGAGAACTCTTTTTTCCTAAAATTAAATGTAATCTATCTAGCAATTCTGATAGATACATTTCTTACTTTTATAATATAATAGTAAATACTATCATCAGCTCAAAAACCCACAACCAACCATGGCGGCAAGATGAAGACCATGCTTATCATTTACGTCTTAGGAATTCTGATATGACATCATGAACACCATATGCATCTTTATGAACACAAAATGGTTTAACATCAATCTCCAGTTTGATGGTAAAACCAATCTCCTAGCTCCGCTGCATTTTTAGCTTTATTGTCAGTGCTAGGACTCTGCAAAAACCCATGCATTTTAATGTAACCAAATAAAATCTCACTCAGTAGAAATACAGAACATAAACCACGCTTCCATTTCTGACTAGTCAAAAAATTGCCTAATCAGGCTTAATGTTTTATTTAAGAAAATAATGGAACATAAATGGTTTGGTGAAGAATAACTACATTAGTGGAAACTTTTAAGCAAGCAACTTTCTTAATAGTAGAAGTGGTCGCTAACGTGACATTTTCCAAACATGAAATGGAAGAAACTTTAATGAGTAAAAGTAAGGTTACCGATCACTCTATTTCCAGGTTTATTCCTTCTGATTTTTGCAGCCCTGAAGATGATATAACCTGAACATTTTTATTTTGGCTTCTAAAGGTGCGAAGCTGTACTCAGATAAAGTACCATGCTGGGACCAGTATCAAAAAAACTGCAGGAAATGCAGTTCATTTATAAAACAAAGTTTGGCAGGTAATGTTATTATTTATCTACATTAAACATTTGCCATACAAAGCAAAATCCCTGTGAACCAGAACAGATAGTGTAATAGATCTGTGGTGGGTACATAAATAGAAACATTCTAAGACAACTTAGATAACAATAAAGATAGCAGCTGCAAATCCATCTGTCTCATCACAGCTGAGCAATAAGAGTGATGCTAATAAGCTGAACTTTAACTGAGAAGTAAAAGGCAAACCAGCACACTTCTGCATTCCTACTCCTCCTGTCCCACACCCTCCACAATCATCTCTGTCTTTAACAGTCAGTTCTAACTTCTAATTTATTATAACAAAGGTGTCCTCCAAAATATTTTTTTTCCTTTTTAGCAAGAAGCACAAACATTTTACACCCCTCTCCCACAAACAAGGGCAGAACAGTGTGGGTCGGCAAATAAGCAACTTCTGGAGCAAAAGGATAAATCTGAACAGGTTTAAACGATCATTAAAACTTCTTCCTGCTGGTGATGAAGCAATTAACTGTCTCAGACTGAGCCAGAAACAAAGTCACTAAGGAGAATAAATTCTCTGTTTTTCCTCCTTCTTACAAAAAGCCCTTTTTCATCTTGCTATGTAAAATCTGTCCTGTTGTGTTGGGAGAGAAGGAAACTTGGACTAGTGCCATCTCTTTGTTTTCTTTTTCTTCAAGAGGACCTTGCTTGCTAGCATAATGGTGATTTTTTGGGGTCAGTTTTGGACTTTTTTTTTTACACTGTGTTTTATTTAGTCTGCTTTTGCACTCCTACTGAGGATAAATTTGGCCACTGCTAATACTGTATCAAAAGCCATCAGGTTTGATCTCTCTCTCCTCTTTTCACACCATATGTTTGTGCAGAGAAAGCTTCACAGTATTAAGGTATCTGACATGCTGTCAGACAAACAGCACTTTCAGGGAACAAGAAGTATTAAGGCCATATCCAGTTTTTGTGATGACATGTAAAGGCTGCCTGTTGCATCCTGCATACAAAGAATTTGCCGAAGTAGGATAGAAATCCCTTGAATGGCCAGAGGCAACACCTTCTGGAAATCACTCTAGTGTTTTCTGAGCAGGAGGCTCTGTAGAATCTCACCATCTGCCAGCAAATATGTGGTGCTGATGGCAGCACGTGTGTGCAGTAGGTGACTAGGTTGAACGAGACATAGTGACTAGGGTAAGTACCTACTTTAATTGGATGCCAAGGAGGGATACACATACAGAGCTGTTTGGGTGACCTGTTCCTTTCTCACAGCAAAGTAAGTCTACCAACATCCTATCTGCCCATGGGTATGGAATTCAACGTAAGGCTAACCTTTCTCTTCCTAGGAATGGGTTCATCAAAGAGAAGGTTGCTTGTTTCAGCTTCGTCAATACCATCGTCTGGCTGGGAAGGTGTCCGAAAAGCTTTGAAGCTATCAGCTGACAGAGGTGGAGATGGGGTGGATGGGTTGGACTGGTCACTGGGAGCGTTCCAGCTCCAGTATCCACTGCTGCTGGTACTAGAAGGCACAAATCCTCCTTCTTTCCAAGATCCATTTAGGGATTCTGTCAAGAACAATAACAGCCATCATTACAACAGTATCATGTGTTAGGGCTAAGCAGCTCTTTTATCTAAGGCTTAGATGCCATGTTAGTAATTAACTGTACGTTCGATAAAGGAAAGCGAAAGTATTGGATGTCAGAGGACAACCACATCTATCCCACTGCACACAAATTTCATATTCCACACATGATTTTTCAGGTGTTTTTAAAAAACAAGTATTTTTCTAAAAAGAAATGCTGGGTTTGGAAAAATAACCTGTTCTGGAGCATAAACCACAATAAGCAGTCAGATATTGCATGCATGATTAAGGGAAAACATTCCAACACATCTGCAACTTTCAACAGGAACACACGACTGTGGTGGGGCGTCAGAGCAAGCTCCAAGCTACCACACGGCCAACAGGAGATCCCCTGGGAAGGGGACATACACTCTGAGCCCCAGGACACTAACTAGATCTGCAAAAACATGATCGTCATCCCAGTACTAAAACACCAAAGAAAACCATAATTACACTCTAACTGTCTTCTCATAATCTCCCAGTGTACACACCTCTGCCTAATTTGAATCTCTAATTGAGGTGGTACATACCCTTGGAAGGATATCCCTTTTTCTTCATACACGTGTATCGTTAGACATCTGGTTTCAGAAGTGGGACACATAGACGCTGGATCACCTCCACACCTACTCGCTGGAGGAACCCCCTCCTCACTGCAGCAGTTCCCCTGACATTAGGTGGTAAGCAGACGCTCAGACTAACACGTTACTCTACAACACGGTGGGTGGGAGTAACAGCACTGCTTTCGCAGTCTGAGGCATGGCTTGAGCCATCCTTCACATGCTGAGGTCCTCAGGCGTTAGACATTGGCATGTCACTCTTCCCAATCCCTAAAGGGCTTTTGGCAGGAGAGGAGTATGTAGGCCATCAGCTCAGCAAAGGTATGTCCCGAGCATGTTCACGGGCGGCTCTGCCTGAAGCTTCAGGTTCTCATAGGGCTTGCTTGGGCACATGTGCAGGGATGGTTTAGGTGCAGTTTCTCCCTAACTCTGCATTGGAAGCTTTTCCCAATGACACTGTATGTGCCTGAGTATTGTGCAATACCCAACTTTGGAGCTGGCAAGCAAATAACATCTTACCTGTTCGTGAAACGCTATTTAAGTGTGAGACAGGAGTCTTTTCAAGCCAGTACCTGCCTTTAAGAGTTCTGCGGAAGTCACTCCTTCATTCCTTCTCAATTTCTTACAGACAAATTTAACTAATGACATCAGCAAGAAAATAATGTCTACCACCTGCTACCAAAAGCTTAACCCAAAACCAATGAATTTTTATTTTTTTTCTCCTAATTCATTTGGGTTTGGACAAAACCCTTAATCATTAACATCAGCTGCTCACAAAACAGAATACAGTGCTCCATCATGTAAGCACATGCATAAAAATACCCCCTTCCGTAGGCAGCAGCCAAGTCCCTGCACTTACTGGTCAGGGCCACAGATCATAAATGGGATCAACCCTCCCTTCCTCCCCCGAAATTCCTCTTTGGAAAAGGACATATACATTTCCGGTAGCTAGTAAGTTAACATATGAAAATGTCATGTTTTGGTTCATGATTACTGTGACTTCATGTGACTGTAGTGGAGGTGGGGTTTGTTTCTTTTAAGTATTTGTACTTGAGTCTCGTGCCAAAGCCAAGAAATACATCTGGTATCAACTTCTGACCTTAGCATAGCTTAAAATTTCCATTTCTTCAGAAAAACAAAGGAAACAGCACTCTTGCAACTACTACTTTCTGACACATTTATGGTGGTACTTTGTATTTTTGGGGTTTACAGCTTCTCCTCGCCTTGCTGAGAAAGAGATGTAAATCAAGAACACTTTTAAAGTAGTATGGAAAAGACTGAACGAGGCTGACAACAGGGAAAAAACAAACACTGGTTCTCATTAATACTAACAAATCTGTCAATGTAAAGAAGTCTAAAATATAAATACATGCAACTTACTCTTATTTTGGGGCTCTTTTCACATTGTTGGAGTTGCACGAAAGAGAACCAGACCAAATATTACTCAGCTGCAGAGAAACAAAGGCCAAACTCTGATCCAGTTTACGTGGGTGATCATCCCCAGTAATTCCAGCACAGATCAGACTTTAATATTAATGCTAATGTTATTTTTTTTACTTCTAGGCAAAATTCTATTTGTTTAAATAAATGTTCCTTTAATTACACTGGTACTTACTGCCCTTTTTTGGAAAAGGATGTAGAAAGAATTCATCATTAGTACATTTGCAGCTCGTATTACTAAGATCAGAGCCTAGCCTTGCAACACCAATTGAGCTTTAAATTATCAAATCTTTACACTTTTATTGAAGTCTTTAGTAAGTCTTCACTCAGGCAAAACTAAGATATTCAGGGAGAAGGTGCCCAACAACAGCTTCAAAATCTTGTCTGTGACTACTGAAAACACGTGAATTACTTTTTCAGGCTTGTCTTCCCAGATTTCAGGAGACAAACAGACAAGCTATGTGAAGAAATATCAAAGAGCACTCAGGCTGCATGAAGAAATATCAAAGGCAGTTAACAGCTACCATTTACCTATTAGCAATTCAAAAAGGCTTGTTTGGAAGATCTTTCCAATCGACAGCTGCTAGCTAGTGTGCACTGCCGGTCCTGACAACTGTCATCTGCTCAAACTGTTTAAGGTGGCAGATACTGCCTTGCCCCACACGAGAGCAGCTCCCTGTGACCAGGGATGCAACGTGGGACACGGGCGTGCCTCAGCCACTCCAAATCCCTGCCTGGCACATCAGCACAGATCCACCTTCACCTGTTGTTTTGGCTGTGAGTTGGACCAGCTGGAGAGCAGGTATGTTTTCTCCCTTCCATTGGCCTTCCCTGGGGGCTGGCAACCTCCAGCCCTGAGGTGGGACAGTCACTGGGGATGTCACCACTGGAGGTTTCCCAGGGTTCCTCAGAGCAGTGATACTCCATAAATACTTCTGGTTTTAACATTTGGTAAGCATGTGGAAAGCACACAGGCAGGAGCCATGGGTGTTCATGGCTAGACTTCCACCTACATGGATAAAATTTAAGTTTTCTGGAAAGAAATGAAAAAACCCCACACTATCTGTTCAAAAATCTTGAAAGCTGGGATATTCCTCATGGTACAGGTTCCTTTTAAGTACATCATTCAGTGGACTGCCCCTGCTTCCATGAAGAACTGCAAAGACTATTTCCCTATTAATTTGCAATCAGTTAGTATTCCTCAAAGTACTCCAATTATTTACAGTGGAAGGGCATTTAGTGTCGATTTAACAGTTATGAGTAAGAAAAGCCAGTCATACAAACAATGCCGAGACATCCTAACAACGGTGTCCTACTTTAAATTATTCTTTAAAATGTAACACTTTTTAAAATTTCTTGTAACTCCAGTCAAGCTTGTATAGATTAATTGTATTTCATTAGCAATCTCATTGTTACCACTAACTTTTTAGATTTACTTTTATTTGTGTGTCTTCTGCTATACCATGAATGGAGTAGTCTTTTAAGGGATTATGGATTTGATGGTAGACCATCAGAGAGTTACAAAAGGCACAGGAATTGAGGTTCTAATCCTGCATCGGCAGAAATAGACCTGTCGCCATGCAGACCACTAGTGGACGGCCTCTCAGCCGAGGGCTGTGATCTGGAAGTGCTTTGCCTCATCGTAGTGCTGAGTAAAATCCGATCTGATTTCCATAGATTGGGGACAAGAACAACTGCTGTCATGTTTACCACATATGTGCAAATGCAAATAAGCTGTTTGGAAAATTAGCATTTCAGTGAGGTAAAGAGACCTTCCGCAGTGCTCATCTCCCATTTATGAAATGGGGCATCTCCTGTTTCATAAACTGAAGCCACTCTATGGTTACGAAGAGGTTTCTTCTCATTTTTGCCAACGCTGCACCAAAAACCTCGACTATGTTGGAGCAAAGCTCACTCAGTATGATCCCCAGCACGCATGGGCCACTGTCAGAAGACAGCCACTCATCCTTTGTCCTCCACCACGGCCACAACTCCTGGAAACAACCCCCACATACACGGCCCTGGCACCCCTCCCTGCAGCCCCCGTCCAGGCGCTGCTCTGAAGGCTTACCGTTGGGTCGGACAGGAGGGCTGCGGACCAAAGGGCTGGTGGATAAACTGGTGAGTACCATGGCTGCCGTTACTTTATCCATGTCCAGTTCTTCTGAAGATTTTCTGAAACACAGTGAATGGGAGGCAGGAAACACATCAGCAAATACTTGCCTTTTTTTAGTGCTTTTTTTTTTAAAAAAATAACAGACCAAACACTAAGCCAGTAACTGAAGCACACCATCAAGCAGAGTTCTCAAAGCTTTTGTCTTCTGGCAACCTGAGCATACCAAGTGGCTACTTTAAGCAAAACAGCTCAGGATAAATAGGAAAAGCAGTGCGAAAAGAGAATACATCTTTGTATAAAACTGTCAGGATTATTGTGACCCTCCATTAGTTTGACCCTATTTCCTTTTTTCAGAATTTCAGGTATTCATATCCTTAAAGTTAAGTGTCTAAGCTTTTTTTCTTGGGTGAAGACATAGAGATGCAAAAGCAGGTAAGATTACCAGTAACATTAATAACATACACTAGTCTCTGTAGGATGAGGAAGAACTATGAACTGGATTTTCTTCTTTGTTGCTTCCGCTTAACACTATTAACCTTCCTGTACTCTCTCCGAAAGACTGATCCTAAATTTTTCCTAGTCAGATTATCAACTAATTATTTAAACTAATTAGTAAATTGGCAGAAAACCAGTGGGGGGGGCAGGGGGGAGTTTTCTGCAGGTGTGATGGGTGCCCGAGCCAGCAGGACAGCACAGCGGAAAGAGAGGGACCTTTCACTGCCTTAGTTCAGCCTCGCTGCGAACCGGCCCCAAGTTGCTGCTTCGATTCATGCAGTCAAGACCAATGAGTTCTGGGGAAAAAAACCCTATAAAATCAGGAGAGAAGCAGAGGAGAGGGCATAGGGAAGGGGTAATAAGGGAGAGCAGGGCAGCCAGCTTTCTAGGGGAGGGAGGAGAGGATCTGGAGGCAACGGATGCCTCCAGAAACCAGGCTTCAGTGACCCACTGCTCAAGGAGAGATTTTTTTTTAGACAATGCAGAATTTTCATTGGCTGTAAAAATGTACACACTATCACTTTTTTTCCCCAAAAGTAACTTTTCCTGACAGGTCAGCAGTACAATGTACAATTTCTGAAGAGTGAACGTACCAAAACAAAACTACTAAACTCACTAGGTTTAGCAGACTTTAGCTTTCCATCCTTGTGGGACAGTGGAACCAAAGCAGACAGCTTCTTGTAATCATCTGCTTTCAACGATACAATTGATCATCCAAGACCATCTTCTCATTTACTAGAGATCAGGTTAAATTTGTTCTTACAAAAGGACACATTTCCCCCTCTATTCTACATTGTGGGGTTTCTAGAATTTCCTCTGTGCCTTGCCAGGAGCTCTACTTAACCATCAGGTTGAGTCTTTATTTAAAGCCCAATATAAGAAGTGTTCAGCCACCTGATGTTTTCTGTCAACTGTTGATCCAAATCACCATGCTGCTTGCGGTCCCCTTCCTAGAATCCCATTTGACCCATCAGGTTAGACGTTCATTAACTGAAAACTACGCTACAGTCAAAGCCTCTTGATATTTTAGTGAGCAAACCTCAAACTTGTCCATGAAACAGTTCACAGCTGCTTTCTGGCTGATGCAAGGACCCATGCAGATGCCGATGAAGACTCTCCCATGCCACACAACAGCTTAGCTCTCATGACTGTCTTTTGCAACACATCAGTGCCTGGAACCGAAATGCTGATGATGGTTCCTACTGTGCTCTGATTATATCCATAGAAATCCTCCTTTCCTTAAGCCAAGGTTTTTGCAAAGAGCACAGCAGCCATATAGTCATCACTGAGTACTGGAAAGGTCTTGGATATCTGCTATAATCAGCTAATACCTAAATCCATCATGCATCAGGTCCTCTCGCTGTCAGAGGAATATTTCACTCAGAATGCCAAATTCCTCTGGGTCCAGAAGACCTTTCCTCAGGGATGACATGGAGATGCTACATTTTCTGGACACCAACCCTGCCAGATGATTTTCCAATTACCTAATATCCCAGTATGAAAATCCACTCTCTGAGAAGCATTCAGCTGCTCTGTAGTCCACTCCTGCACAACTACACCGACTGTCCCTACTCCTTTATCCAGCTGCAGATGAACCACTAATATTTGCACTTCTGCAGCACCGGAGGACAAAATGACCACAGGTTCCTGATACGCTGGAGAAGCTGATCCCTAGTGTTCGCCAACAGCCTTCCAACAAGGTTCTTCTGTGTGTATGGCAACAGGACTAACGCGCTCCCGTCCAGGCCTCTGCAGAACTGCAAAATCACACTACAGCAGTTGTTGCAAGCGTTTGCCAAGTTGGTGTCAAGATGTCAGAGTCTAGACCCAGAGCTAATCCCAAAGTTCCTCCAAATAGTCTGTAATTTTAACTTCTTCTAGCTCTTCTGTATTGATTTTTTTTTCCCTTCTACAATGACTCAGACTACTGCTCTGAAAAACTAACCTTTGCTCCAAATAATTTTGTCAATAATGCTCCGAAATTGTCAGCATTGGCATCTGTGCCTAAGATGAAAGTTTTCATAGGTAGGCAAAGGACAGGAATGGTCATGAGACCCCCCTGCCATTTCTAGCCATGCTAAACCACACTTTTGCAATTACTGGAATGCTTTTTTCTACCTGATCCAATTTAACAGGTTTTCAACATGGAAAGCCCAAATAAACAAAACTTTGAACAACTTCTCTGCCCATTTTGAATCACAGTCATTTTTACTACTTACTGCTCCTCAGCTGCATCCAGCAAACAAGGAATGCTCCGCTTGTACTTCCCAGCCACAAGAATTTTAGCAGCTACAAGTGTTGGCTTATGTGACTCTGCTCCCAAACACATTTTTACAGTTTGGCTCATAAATGTAAACATACATATTTCATATATCACTCAGCCAGCACCGCTGCAGCAACAGCAGCCTTTGAGAGAGAGGCAAAGCATAAAACTGCAGACAGGAACCACTTAAGCCATCTGCATTTAGTCAGCATCACATTTGAATCGATACCTTAAGACTGCCCCAGTCTTTTCCAGCTTTCTCTGCTGGAAAGTTGAACCTGCACACAGCTGTTCAACAGTATTTGCACTCAGAGGGAGAATTACTTGTTTGTTACACATTGATTGTTCACAAACCATTTATTCCACCATTGCTAAGGTGATTTTCTGCAGACTGAAGTTATAATCCCTGATGTTGCTTATACTGTTATTAGGTGTAACAAAATCTAAATCAGTTGTAAGATCATCTACTACATTAGCTATGAAGATTTCTTCTTTCCTCTAATCCCACTCCCAGTCTCCAGATGCCATCTCCCAACTTCTGGACGGATATATTTGTGTCAGCCCAGTCTGTATTTGAGACCAAGCAATTTTGGATCCTTTATTTCCAAGTCTTTGTAAATCCAAACCCATGCCAATAGCTGAATTATAATAAACCAGCTGAGACATAAGCAGCAGAAGTTAGAGGACCTTGAGGACAGATCTTTTACCACTGCCCCATGTCTCTCAGCTTCATGTCTCCCTGCTTCCTCAGCAGGGAGAATGGTTTCACTTGATCCTTCCAATACCCTAACCTAGCCAGCCTGGTATTTAAAATTGTCCTTGTCTTTAATAGCCAAGCTCAAATTAAACTTAGCTACTACCCTCAGTCTTGCTCAATCCTTTCCTTGGTTTTGCTGATGAATTTACTGCTTTTTTGATAATCATTTAACGGTGTTAAGAAACTATCACATCTCCCTCAGTCAGAGCTCTCTGCAAGGAAAGGCTGGGTTTAAGCTCCAAAAGATGAGCAAAAGAGAGTCCAAGACGAGTCCAAGTATACGCAAGTGTCCCAAACCAACACAACAGCCGATCTCCTACTGTCCCATTTCCTTACCCAGTAGCTGACTGCCCCTAGGACCCATGTTTTCTTATGGGACTGAATCCACCGTTTAAGGTCTTGGTGCGATTCCTCCCTACTAGCAACCTTCTGGCAAGGGGATGTCTTCCTGACATTTAATCCATAAAATACCTTACATTTACAATAATATTTGGTTACTATCTAACAACTCAAAATACTGACAGTACAGATAAATAAATGATCTTGCTAGTTGCTGTTAGGTTTGGTTGTTGATTATGAAGGTTAAAAATTAACCTGCTTGCCACAGACAAAAGGAAAAATTACAGAGAGAATGATCCATATAACCAGTCCAAGGTCCTGAGCACTCTTTGGTAAAAGCTGTAACTTTTCACAATAAAGCAAAAAGCAAAGGGAAATATTTTCAAAGATTATATTAAATCATTACACTACTATAATGATACATCTTAAAACTTAAGGAAGCATTACTATTTACACATCTAAAAAGAGAACTGGTGTTTGATATCCGAAGCACAATGCACTAATTAGAAGCTAGGGATTTCTGCCTTTGCTTATCATGGCCACACATAGAATTAACCTTTTCCACTCTTAAATTTGTGGTATTTGCAGACTAGTTCATATATAGAATAATTGCCCTTTCTGGGGGGGGGGGCTCTGCTGTTCTGGTTATACACCAGCAACAGGATACCGACAGCGACTAGAAATTAATTATGGTCAAAATCTTTATTATACTAATATAGGAACTTTCCTTCTAAAAAACATATATACCTAAACTTCTCAAGGAAAAAACAAAAGTGTTTCAAAGGCAACCACAAAGCTCTCCACCACCCTCAGCCAAGCTGAAAGGTTTTGTGATTCAATTATTCAAAGGACCTTTGGAAGTCTGGCTGGTCTGTTCGAGGCCGAGGAGAGTTGACAGAGTCATCAGTAATGCAGATACAGACTTTCTATTTGGACTGTAATGGTTTAAAGACAATAAAAAGTCTCTGCAAATTAGTCATATCAGATGGGAGACATTCACAGAGTGGTTCTCAGCATCCTGGAGAAGAAAATATGTTTAACAGAAGAACTGAAGAGAAAGCAGTGTGTAATGCCGGCGTGTTTCTCAGTCTTTTATTTTTCCTCACATCAGATCATGCATCACCTTCCACTGCTCCACAAAAACAGGACTCTAAAAACAGGTATTTCTCTAGCCATTATCATTAAAAGCACTAAAACTTGACAGA